TGTGTCATTGGCTCAAAGGAGGCAGGAGCATGTGACGGTTCCAAGCTGCTTCCCCCATATGGTGTGGGGGTGCAGGGGGCATTTTATAGATGACGCAGCAGACAGCTGGTGTGTGGAGATGCAGGTTGGGAAAGTTCTGATTGGGGGAGCTTGGAAACAGCCAGCATGGCACTGGCTCCTGCATACAGCTGCTTTGCCAAGCAAAAAGCTGAAAACACAAAGACCTTTGGACTTCCATAGCCTGTAGCACTGGGGCTGGGTGAAGTTTAAGGCAACGTCCTTGACATTTTCAGGGGCAGTAGGCCGGGCCCCTGGGTTAAATGGAAAACGGGGGCAGGGGTTCGGGGCAACAGATTAAGCCACCACTTGGGATGCCTGCATCCCACATCAGAGTTCCCGGTTGGACTCCCAGCTGCTCCACTTCCACTCCAGCTCCCCTAATGCATCCTGGGAGACAACAGATGATGCACAAGTGCTTGGGCCCTGCTGCTCATGTGGGAGCCCAGATAGAGTCCCTGGCTAGTGGCTTCAGCCTGGCCTAGGACTGGCTGTGCGGGCACGTGGAGAGCGAAACCGTGGATGGAAGATCCCCATCTCTCTCTCTCTCCCTGTCACTCTACCTTTCAAGGAGAAGAAAATAAACACGTTTTAAAATTGCCAAAGAGAGAATAAACACGTTTTTAAATTGCCAAAGAGAGGACCGGCATTGTGGCACAGCGGGTTAAACTGCCTACCTGCTACACCACAATCCTATAACTTATTTTATTTTTACTTTTTATTATTTTTTATAGAAAGCTTTTTTAATAAACATAAATTTCAAAAGTAGAACTTTTGGATTCTCCAGTGCATCCTGTAAGTTGAAGTGCTGGTTCGAGTCCTAGCTACCTGCTTCCCATCTAATTCCCTTGAACACCCCTCAGAAGGTAGCAGACAAGGGAACAAATATTTGGGACACTGTCACCATGTCTGAGACCCTAAGAGAGAAGCCTGGCTCCTGGCTTTGGGCTGTCCCATCCTCAATGTGGTAGCTATTAAAAATATATTTATGTCTTATTTGAAAGAGTGACAGAGATAAAAGAGAGAAAGAGAAAGATCTTCCATTCCTGGCTTCACTTCCCAGATGACCACAACGGACAGGCCTGGACCAGGCCAAAGCCAGGATCCAGGAGCTTCATCCGGGTCTCCCACATGGGAGCTGGGGTCCAGGCACTTGGGCCATTCTCTGCCTCTTTCCCAGGCGCATTAGTAGGGAGCTGGGTTGGAAATGGAGCAGCCGGGACACGAACTGGTGCCCATACACGGGCTGCTGGCATTGCTGCCAGCAGCTTTACCCACAACGCCACAACGCCGGCCCCCTAAATAAATAGTGTTACAAATTCTAGTGTGAACAGATGGACAGGTGGGAGCTTGGTGTTCCACCGCCTTCCCGCTCTGCGCTGGTGCTTCAGTCACTACATGGGCAAATGTGGACTCCTGGAAAGGACCGGGCGGGGCCCTGGGACCCCTTCAGGGCCTCTGTCTTAAGGGTCCTGGGCGTTTCCTGCAGGCATCAAGGGAGAGAATCAGCAGAGAAAGGCAGACAGAGGACAAGGGACAAGGCCAAGCCCATTGGCTGGGTGAGGAGACAGTTCCGTCAAAGGGTACCTGAAGGCCAAGGAGAAGAGAGGAGACACCTTGGCATTCCTGGCCTGGGTGCACCTGTGCTCCCGGAAGTGCGCCGCCCTACTTCCGGTTCTGGAGGGCGGGACTCCCTTTGCCATTTGGGCTGAGCCCCCAGTCCCAGATGGTGAGCCAGCTGGAGGGGAGGGAGTGGGATGCCCTGAGCGACGGGTCAGGAGCCACTGATAAGCGATGCTAGTTACTCCAGACCCTCCCTGGCCTCCATGCTTCTGTCTTCTTGGAAGACCTGCTGACTCAGAGGGGTCACAGGGACCAGTCCTGGAGACGCCAGACAACAGGACTCGGGGCTTGAGGTGGCCGAAAGATCCACCCTCGCGGGGCCGAAGGAGTCTGACACCCAATCTGAAGTCTCAGACCCGAGGGTGGGGGAGGGCTCCAGGACCTTTCTGCCATGGTGTCTGAGAGTCTGGGGCAGGGGCCCAGCCCCACCCTGCCCCAAGGAGCACCTGCACCCCCTCAGCCCCTCAGCTTCCTTCATGCTCCCTGGAATGACATCTCTTGGGAGGGGGGCAACTTGCAGCCCAAGTCACCCTTCTCAGAGACAGAGATGGTTTGAGAAGGCGCTGGCAGGTTGAGGCTGGCTGGCTGGCTAGACTTGCTAATTTATAAGATAGTCCCCATGATGTGATAGAACTCATAAAGTGGTATATGGTTGTACGGGTGTTTGCCATGCCATTGTTAACCTTTACTGCCTGCTTGTTTTTCGTTTTTTTTTTTTTTCTTCGTTTTTTTTTTTTTAATTTTGTATCAAATATCAGGAAAGAGGGGGAAAAATTCTTTTTTTAAAAAATTTATTTATTTATTTGAAAGTCAGTGTTACACAGACGGAGAAGAAGACGCAGAGAGAGAGAGAGAGAGAGAGATAAAGAGAGAGGTCTTCCATGTGATGGTTCTCTCCCCAGATGGGGGAACTTCCATAGCGATCCATCGGATCGGCTCAGTTCTGGCCATTGCAACCATGTGGGGAGTGACCAGTGGATGAAGACCTTGCTCTCTCTCTCTCTCCCTTCCCACACTTAATAAATAAAATGAGTTAATCGAAAGCTGTGGTGACCATGTCTCAAGCTTGTCCTGCCCCTCCTGGGCTCTGGCACTCAGCCGAGTGGACCCCACCTTGTCATCCCTAAGCTTTACGAGAGCGACAGACCCTGCCCAACACCTGATCCCAAGAGGTTGACCTTGTTTGCTCAGGAGGTGAGGTTCCCTTGATAAAGAGCAGGAGGGAGGGCTAGGAGCTGGTATAAAAGTTCTGGAAGGTTCTAAGGGGTTACCTTGCACCTGAAGCTCCCAGGTGAGAGGTGTTAGGGATTCCTGGGTCTGCCTTTGACGGGGTGGGGATTCAGATCTGATCTGGTCTGGGGAAGGGGATGCCTGGATTGAGTGGCAGGGAGTGTTAGTGAAGTGGGCACCTGGGTTGAAGCTATCTTGGTGCAGAGATGTGTCAGCTGTCAGTTGAAGGACAAGGAACCTGGGACACTCAGGTGACTGGGAAAGGCCAGGCGTGTGTCGGTGGACAAAGAATCGTGACAAAGATCCCATCTGCTGGTTCACTCCCCCACATGGCCGCAATGGCCAGAGCTGGGCCAATCTGAGCCAGGAGCCTGGAGCTTCTTCCAGGTCTCCCAAGGGGGTGCAGGGGCTCAAGTGCTTGGGCCATCTTCCACCGCCTTCCCAGGGCACTAGCAGAGAGCTGGATCGGAAGTGGAGCAGACGGGACTTGAACCGGTGCCCATATGGGATGGCGGCTCCAGGGGCGGAGGACTCACCTACTGCACTCCAGCGGCCAGCTTGTCGGTGTTGGCTCTGATGCTGGGTTCAGGAAATTCAGCCGTCTCCAGGCTGAGGCCTATCCTCCAGTCCTAATTCAGAAAGTCCCCATCCTGGCTGTGTCAGGACACAGCGCTCGCCAAAAGTGAGCGCTGACCTTCTGCTTGGAGGGGAAAAGGAGGGCGTGGCTACAGCCAGACCAAGGGCGGGCCAGAGACAGTCGGACCCTGGAACATCAGGTCTGGAGGATGCACTGCAGGCTGTGGACAGTGCTGTGCAACCTTGAGCCTGGGTCTGGCTAGGTGGGAGCTGAAAGGTCAGGCCACCCGGAGGCCAGAGGGAAAGGGGGAAACCTCCCCCTCTGCTCTCTTCTTCCCCCCTGCAGCCTCACGATGTGGACCTTCATGCTCCTGGGCCTTCTCTGTGCCTCGACCTCTGCCAGTGCCAGTAAGTGAGCCGCTGGGACTCTGGTGGCAGGTGGTGGGAAGGGGCCCCTGCTCGGCTGGTGGCCAAGGCTTGCAGGGCCGCCCCTGAGCGGTGGGAACTGGGAGGTCCTTGCCTCCAAGCCCCCCTTTCTTTCCACTGCAGTCCAGGCCAGGTCCTCCTCCTACAGTGGCGAGTACGGAAGTGGAAGAGGGGAGCCATTCTCCCACGCCGCCCTCCAGCTGCAAGGCCCCATCACAGCCATCCGTGTCCGGGTTGACAGCTTCAATATCGCGGGGTAAGGCTCCTCCGCATTCCTCAAGCTCTTACTAACTCAGGAAGTGCTCTTTCACTCTGGGCCACCTGTGCCTCAACCAACAGGTCCCTAGTGAGGCAGGATATGGGGATAGCTGTGAGAGGACTCGGCTTCCAGAACCGTACCCTTTGGACTCCTCCCTCCCCAAATATGCCTGGTGGTGGCAAATCATTAATAACCACTAACTCTCAGGGGCCTGGAAGTCAACCAGCCCTGCCCACCCCACCTTCTGCAGTTCAAAGTTTCTTTCCAATATCCCTGCTGGGTGCCCTGCAACTTTGCTCAACGCCTCTCTTGAGCAGTCCCCACTCCATTGCTAGTCGGAAAATTCTATCACGTGCAGAGCCAAAGTGTGTCCGCTAATGTGGATCTGCCTCCTGGGACAGCAGGGACAAGCCTCTTCCCTCTCCCACAAGGGAGCCACTCAGCTGTTAGAAAATCCCTTTGCTTCCACAAGTGCGAGAATGGGGGAGGGGCATCTTAGGAGGCTGGACTCCAAATTCAAGGCCTGCCATGTGCTGTGTGTGGGCGACTCTGGGCAAGCTGCCTTCCTTCTCTGCACCTGCTGTCAGCCAGGCCAGGAGCTGAAGTTCTTTGTGTGGTCCTCCAGGGCTCACCCGGCCTACACTTTTGGGGCAACTAGCAGGGACTGCTCATGCTAGCGTCCAGTTTGGAGGACTCCACGTGCAGGTCAAAAGGTCCTGAACTCTGATGACCTAATCAGTGTCCCCGTTCCTGCCCTCCCACCCGTCCCAGTCTCCAGGTGCGCTATGGCCAGGTGTGGAGCGACTACGTGGGTGGCAACCTGGGAGACCTGGAGGAGATCTTTCTGCACCCAGGGGAGTCAGTGATCGAGGTTTTTGGGTCATACGGTAACTATCTGAAGACCCTGGACTTTTTCACCAACTACGGTCGCATCCTGTCCTTTGGGAAAGGCACAGGCGTGAGCTTCAACGCTGTCCCCTTGGACATCGACGCCGTGCTCCGATTCATCAGTGGCCGAGCTGGCTTATTCGTCAGCGCCATTGGCCTGCACTGGGACACCATCCCAGAAACTGCCCCAGTGACTGCTGAGCCCGCCTCCTCCGTGGCAGGGCCCCGTGGTGGGGTGTGACAACTCCCTGATCACCATTCCCATACAAATGGCTCAATAAAAGGACATGGCTAAAGCTGGTGTGCATGTGGGTGTGTGCAGGCGGGACCCACTCTTGGAGGGTGGTGTGACTCTCAGCTCTGGCTACCTGCTGCTAAGAGTGGGAGCACGAGGGAGACAGGTGTTGAGAATCCTGGGCTCTTCCGTACGTCGCAAGGAGAGGAGACGCTGGTTTGTGCCAACTCTTTTCGGGGTTAGCTCATGAGAATGTCTGTCCAAACAGGAGTTCTGAAGGGAAGGCTCAGCGGGGGCACACCGCCGAGCCCCAGGTGTGCCTCTCTGGCGCCCTCCCCGCTGAGAAGGGGCTTCTCTGACCAAAGGCTGTCCCCTCTCCCTGGAGCTCAGCTGCAGGTGGGTGGCCTGCACCTCTGTCCTCCCATCTGTCCCAGATGCGATCTCCCTGCTGAAGTTTCGCCCCAGTTTGTGCTTAAGGACTCCACCCCATTCCCCAGGCCAGTTCTTCCTCGTCTTTACCCCTAACCTGGTGCTCTTGCTTAGCCCTCTCGGAACTGGCGCTCAGGCAGATGAGAAGCCCGTGGCTAAGACACACCCATGTCCCGTATTAGAGCGAGTGGGTTTCATTCCTGACTCCACCTTCCTGCTGACGTGGCTCCTGGGAGGCAGCAGGGACGGTTCAGGATGGTTCAAGTGCCACCCACACGGGAGAGCCGGATGAGTTCTCCTCCAACTTCTGCCCCCACTCCCACCTCTCTAACAAAAAGAAAATAAAAATGGACAGTCTTTCCTTAGGGACCCACCATTTCAACAGTGTGAATTTGGCCAACACCACAGCCTAAATGGAAATTCTGGGGATAGGCACTTAGTATGGTGGTTAAGTTGCCACTAGGGTCTGAGTCCCATATCTGAGTGCCTGGGTTCATGGCCTGGCTCTACTTTTGTTTTTTAAGATTTTTTCAAAAATGTATTTATTTGAGCATTAGAGAGAATCAGAGGCAGAGAGAGCGAGCGAGAGAGAGAAAGATGTCTTCCATCTGCTGGTTCACTCCCAGATGGCTACAACGGCCAGAGCTGGGCCGATCTGAAGCCAGGATCCTGGATCCAGGAGCTTCTTCTGGGTCTCCCACGTGGATACAGGGACCCAAGGACTTGGAGCATCTTCTACTGCTTTCCCAGGCCATAGCAGAGAGCTGGATCACAAGTGGAGCAGCCGGGTCTCGAACCGGAGCCCATACAGAATGCCAGCACTGCAGGCGGCAGATTTATCCACTACTCCACAGCCTGGCTCCACTTTTGATTCCAGCTTCCTGTTAATGCCAACCTTGTGGGAGGCCTGCATTGAGTTCTGGACTCCTGGCTTCAGTCTGGCCCAGCATGCCTGTCGTGGGCATTTAGGGAGTGAACCAATGGATGGGACATCTCTGTCTGCCTTTCATAGGGCATGAAAATAAATTTTTACAAAAGTAAAGCCAAAGTAGAGACATTTTCATCTTTGATTGCCCCAAGCACAAGTGGTTGGTTAGAATTCAGGGGAAGCATTAGGATGGCTGGATAGAGTCAGTGAGGACACAAAGTGGCTTTGGGAAGAATTTCAAAACTATATAAAACTGGCAGTTTTTGGTTTTGGTGGTAGTGGTGGGCAGTAACATATTGCTTCCCATAGATTTCTTTGTGTTATAGGAATGCAAATTCATATTTCTTCCCAATTAGACAAAGAGAAGTTACTGACATGTAATTTTGTAAAAAGAAATTTATAAACCCCAAGCACTATAAAAAGAAGCCCACCACTAGCATGTTTTTATAACAATTCCTTGGGCACCAGATGTTGCTGTGGATCCATTCTGAGAGGAGGAGCATGGTGGGGGCAAGAGGCGTGGAGTCACCACACAGACCCCAGGTGTGGGTGAGAGCAGGCCAGAGGCGAGAAGCCCGAAAACTCATTTATTTTAGTTGGTACAGCAGCTTATAGAGCCAAGGCAGCCAATCTGGTCAAGGGGCGGTCTATGCTCTAACCAATCACAGCCTGTTGCCAGGCAGTTTTCAAAGCCATCCAATCATAGCTCGTTGCCAGGCAGGCTCTGTTGCCATGTCATTCCTGAAGCCATCCAATCACAGCCTGTTGCCAGGCAGTTTCCATTGCCTGCGGCCATCTTGGCATGGCCTTCTCATTCCACCACAGAATATTATGCCATTGTAATTCTTTTTGAGCTATAAATATCATAGATCTTACCCTTTTCAAGTGTGCAAGTGATTTTTAGTATATTTGTAAGGTTTGTACATCCAGCATCGCCAATTCCAGAATACCTAAGTAAAAAAAAAAAAAAAAAAAAAAAACCCGAGGCCATGAGTTGTCTCCCCAGCCTCCCTTGAGCCCAGCAGAGTCATGTTCTCATGTGTGAACCTGAGGTAGAATTAAATCAGGCTGATAACAAAGCCATTGCCTTACATACTCATTTGTGGTGAGAACATTTACAATCTACTTTTAGCAATTCTGACGAAAGTCACCATTCCATGTGATCTATTGATCACTAAAGGCTGCTTCTTCCTTTCACCTGAAACTTTGTATGCTCTGATCAACATCTTGCCTCTCACCATCCAGTGTTCTGCCAAGCTTCTCATGACTACCACTTTTTTTTTTGTAAAGATTATTTATTTGAAAGGCAGAATGACAGAGAGAGGGAGAGACAGGGAGAGATCTTCCATCCACTGATTTACATCCCATACAGCTGCAATTGCTGGGGCTGGTCCAGGCTGTAATCAGGAGCCTAGAATCTCATCTAGGCCTCCCATGTGGGTAGCAGGGACCCAAGCAGTTAGGCCACCCTCCACTGCTTCCCCAGGTGCATCAGCAGGAAGCTGGATCAGAACTGGAGCAGTGTGGTGGAATGAGAGGGCCATGCCAAGGTGGCCACTGGCAAGTGAGCATTAGTTACTCAGGAATGGCTTTGGAAACTGCCTGGCAACAGGCTGTGATTGGATGGCTTTGGAAACTGCCTGGCAACAGGCAGTGATTGGATGGCTTTGGAAACTGCCTGGCAGGCTGTGATTGGATGGCTTTTGTATGAGGTGAGCAGTGGCCCCTAGAATTGGGGGTGAATCTTACTTGTAGGTTCTCCATTAAAGCTGCTGGCTTGTGGAGATTTGTGATCCGTAGTGAGGACCGCTTGCATTTGTGAGAGTACATCTCTCCCCCATACGGTCATGGAAACTTTAGCAATCAGTGGAAAGATGGTTCCTGTATCTCCATTGTCATCTCGCCAATTTACAGTTGTGATGACCTGATTAGCCAATTTTAATCCTCCAACACCTTGGAGGTCAGGTCCGGGTGCTGTCTTCCAATGTTGTATTTTTCTGGCATCTCTAGCTTTTAAGACAGTAACATCTGTTCCCGTATCAATTAAACCCACAAAGGCAATGTCATCTAAATATAGGGTCAATTTCAGCCTCAGATTGAAGATGGGCATCGACCAGTTAATGGTAGTGGGACTCCCTCTTACTTGCTGGGCGGAGGGCCGCCCCACTGGGAGTTTAAAGGTTTGGTCTTGCAATCTTTTGCCCAATGAAAGCCTTTTTTACATCTGGGACACAGCGTTTTCGGTTTGCCCCATTGTTAGACCCTCTGAGTGAGGATGCTAACACGTCGAGAGGCACACCCCAAAGACTCAGATTCCAGACCAGCTGATGCAAAAGCAAGAGGATTTATTCGGCGTCTGCGCAGACGGGCCTCCTGAACTCGGGAGTCCAGAGAGCACCCCCAGCACAGAGCCACACGGTTTATATACCCGCAGCGACCAATCAAAAGCACTATAGTGTCCATGTACACAGCAGTCCAATCCGTGAGCTGATCATGTGAAAGGCATGCGTCTTCTATCCAATCAGCTACGGGATCACATGGGAGGCATGCACCTCGTCGCCATTTTGTTGTTTACTTCTTTAGCAGTTCCTTTCCCTGCCAGCGCCATCTTGTTCACCCTGAGGGGGACGACATCTTGCTCCCTTCGTTCCCCTGGAGGGAGAGCAGCGTCCCGCTTCCCACACCGTTATCTGAGTATTAGGAGGCATACAAACTGGGTTAGGTCTTAGCACAGCCAGGCACAAGTGTCGCAGCTAGCTAAGCATAGGGCCCCTTATTTTGATAGCTGCACCTAATGTTAGCTTTGGGGGAAAAAGTCTAGGGCTATAATTTTTAAACTTTAATTTTATTTGGGGCAAAGGTGACTCTTGTTTTTAATAGTGTTAGCTTAAGTCACTCCATCTTGGTTTGATTTTTAAGGTTCTTCACCATCTTTTAGCGTTTGGGCAGTTTTGCCGTAGGTGTCCTATTTCCTGGCATCCCCAACAAACTGGAGGGTCATTAGACTTCTTTGTGCTCGATTTGTTAATGGCTGCAGTCAGGGCCTGTATGGGAATATTGGCAGGGTTTACTTCCTTTGTGGCTATTATCCATTTAGAAATGTCTTCATTACGGACTGGGGCGATTGCTGCTTTTGCTCTTTGGTAGCACCTTCCCAAGCTCATTGTTTGACCAAATTGTCTTGATCGGGGCCAGGCAGTAATCTTTTCTCTACTGCCTCCAAGACTCTGGCAAGGAAATCGGGGAACCATTCGCCTGGGCCTTGAGCTAGATTTCTAAAGAGCTGACTATAATCAGGAGGATTTATATTTTTTAAGGCTTTAATTGCCAAATCTTTGACCTGATCAAAATAGGCAACTACTCCAATGCGGGCCTGTTCTTGAGGATCTATGTAGGCGCCACGGCTTGTAAGCATATCAAAGGTTACTGCTGTTCCATAGGCAGCATTATTCCTCGCCACAGTTTCAGCCTCTTCCTCCTAGGAGGCTTTCCACTGTAAGAACTGTGGTCTCGACAAACATGCTTTGAGCAGGGCAACCCAGTCAAAATGAGTTTGAAGGTTCACTGCCCATGTGTGAGCACCTGTTCAAAGTAGGGAGAGTCGGGGCCTGACTCTTGAGAAGCCTTTTTTAGCATAGTAAGGTCATTTATGGGTGTTGGAATCCAGGGCCTGAATTCTGCATCTGCTCCTACATTAACAGCAAATGTGCAGGTGGGATGGGGTCCAGCTGCTGCCCTAAGAGTTTGGGGTGTCCGAGTACTGCCACAAATGTGGGGATCCTCACTGGGTGCGGATGGGATGACCTTGAATGAGTTATTGTGTAGAGGTCCTCTAAGTTCATCCCACGGGTATGTGGGGGGTGGCTGACTAGGCATTGCTACCTTGTTTGCTACCTTGTTTGCTACATTGTTATTTTCACTGTCCGTGCTCTCTCTCCCTAAGTCATCAATTGTCTGTGAGACAGGGACCTGGAGTGCCAGGCTCTTATCACTCACAGATTCACTATCTTTGATAATCTGCGCAGGATTCTGAGAAGGGGCTATCTTTCCCATGTCTGAGTGCTTAAGAGCGGCACGGCATGCCAGCTCTAGCCAAAGGAAAGACACGCACGGAACTGCTGCCATAACAAAGCAAATTCCTAGCACCTCAGCTGTTGATGGCATTTTGCAGGAGGTTTCCCTACGTTAGACAAACAGATAGTGGTGTATCAGATCGTAAGTATGTCCTGTGCTTAGTGGGGGACTTCCTTGATTCGTTAGCTCAAGGCCGTATGCCCACACGGTGTCTCCGGAGCGTCACCTCTCTCGAGTGAGGGAAGATGACTTGGTTCCGAATTCTGGGATGATCAGTCCCTTATGTGAATTTGCCGGGTGAACCGAAAGTAAAAGGAGGAGCCAAGAGGCGACGTACGCTTCTGGGCGGTGTGTGCCTAACCTGGGGTCACTTAGACCGAGGACAAGGACAAGGAAAGGGGCATAGGAGGGGGTTCTGTGCTCACCCTCACAGAACCGAACAGCACACAAAACACTGAGGGGCCTTCTTGCTGAAATCAATGGGGGACCTCGCCGAGTCCGACATGCTGTCTTTCTCTCAGTCAGGTTGGCGTGCCAGATGTTGCCGTTGATTTCTCAACAATGTTGCAGTGGATTCCTATCTGAGAGGAACAGCGTGGTGGGGGCAAGAGGCGCAGAGTCACACAGACCCCGGGAGTCGGGTGAAAGCAGGCTTCAGGGGCGCAGCCCGCAGACTCAGACTCCTTTATTTCAGTTGAAACTACGTCTTATATAGCCAAGACCAGCCAATCTGGTCGAGGGGCGGTCTATGCCCCATCCAATCACAGACTGCCAGGCAATTTCCAAAGCCATCCAATCACAGCCTGCCAGGCAGTTTCCAAAGCCATCCAATCACAGCCTGCCAGGCAATTTCAAAGCCATCCAATCACAGCCTGTTGCCAGGCAGTTTCCAAAGCCATCCAATCACAGCCTGTTGCCAGGCAGTTTCCAAAGCCATCCAATCACAGCCTGTTGCCAGGCAGTTTAAAAGCCATTCCTGAATAACTAATGCTCACTTGCCAGTGGCCACCTTGACATGGCCCTCTCATTCCACCACATTAGATGTTACTGTCTTAAAAGCTAGAGATGTAAGAAAAATACAACATTGGAAGAGAGCACCCGGACCTGACCTCCAACAAACCTGCAACTGACAGCCAACCAGAACCAGCTGAACAAAACCAAGACTCTGCCTTGTTAGCAGACACACCTGCCCTATCATCCAACCCTGAGAAACTGCCCATAGCCATGCCTGCTACTGTTTTGTACCCCACTAGCTTGGTCAGCCACTCAGATGGCCCATAGCCTGTGTGCGGTCATGCCATTCCTGATAACTATTATTCCTCATTCCCACCCCTATCTGAGCAAGCAATCCTGTGGTCTCTTGATTTGAGTGCTGGTTAGTCAATGACGGGTATGATCCCCTGGGGGACAACTTAAGACAGGCACAGCTGCACACGGAGACCATATGGAGATGGGGTCAACAATGGTATGGTCAAGAATCATGCCTCCCGTTGCTCAAAAATAAACGAAAAGAGGGCAATGTGGTGGAATGAGAGGGCCATGCCAAGGTGGCCACTGGCAAGTGAGCATTAGTTACTCAGGAATGGCTTTGGAAACTGCCTGGCAAGAGGCTGTGATTGGATGGCTTTGGAAACCGCCTGGCAACAGGCTGTGATTGGATGGCTTTGAAACTGCCTGGCAGGCTGTGATTGGATGGCTTTGGAAACCGCCTGGCAACAGGCTGTGATTGAATGGCTTTGGAAACTGCCTGGCAGGCTGTGATTGGATGGCTTTGGAAACTGCCTGGCAACAGGCTGTGATTGGATGGCTTTGGAAACTGCCTGGCAACAGGCTGTGATTGGATGGCTTTGGAAACTGCCTGGCAGTCTGTGATTGG